ACACCAAGATTGAATCTGTTACTAGTCTGACTAGCATAGTGTGTGTGTGTGTGTGTGTGTGTGTGTATGTGAGAGTATGTGTGTGCATGTGTGTGTGTGTGCATGTATGACAGAGTGTATGTGACAGAGACAGTGTGTGCATGACAGTGTGTGAAAGAGCATGTGTATATGTGCGCATGTGTGTTTATGCACCATCACCTTCCTGGGCTCTAAATGCTGTACTTTGATAATGCAGCCCGAAGTAGCATCAGGTTTTGGGGGAGCAGCAACCATTAATTATGGTTTATCGAATATTCAATATATGTGCTAGAAACCATGCTAAGTATATAACTTACACTGACTCATTTAACCCCTTAAATAACTCTAGGGGGCAGATACCATTATCCCCATTTTTCAGATGAGGAAACATGCACAGAGATGTTATAAATAGAAGGTCAACATAACTAAAATATGGCAGAGCTGGGATCTATCTCCAGTCCCTCCTACTCTGAAGCCAATCTTAACTTCCACTCTATACTTCTTCCACAAATATTAAGAGTTTGTTCAAATCTTAAGTCTTTTCTTTCTCAGTATGATTTGAGTAAGCTAAGTCTCCTTAGTTTTGCTCTTCTTCAGCTGAGCTTTTCCATAGGGAAAACTCCATGTATCCCCCTTCAATTTGATTGTATCCAATTTAATGTAGCATATTCTCTCTCTCTTTCGGCTTCAAACCATCAGCAAACGTAATTAGATAAGTCTCTATTAAGGAATAGAACAAAGGTAAGGGCAAGTCCTTAGGCAAGGGCTGTATTTCTCTCAAGGTGTATCTCTATCAAGTAATCATTTCCTAGTCTGGGTACGGTTCAACTTGTTACCAATTCACCAGTCTGAATTAACATTCAACCTCCATTTCTTTATCTTGCTGACAATTATTTCTTGAAATGTCACATGGTCTTTATAGTTAATCTCTACAGCAAAGGTCTGTTTGAATAAAGGTTGTCCCATAAAGAACTGTGGATGAAAGGCTAAAGTGGGTATGCAAAATATATACATGATGGTCTTGAGTGTCTGAACTATTTTAAGGGAAAAATTCCACCTTTGCTTCCATAAGACATTTGAGTTGAAGAAATATATAAAGAGCAGAAGATGAATAGGACTTGAATCAAGAGCCTTTTCTGGGATCCACATACATCCATTTAACCCCGTCCCAACTCCCATATCACATAAGGGCAAGACTCAAAGGGAGCCACGGACGTTTGTATGTAAATGTATGGCTTTGCCAGCTTCCTTTACTGGAGTCAAGGACAGATTCTTCACCCTCTCTTGCCTTTCTTTCCATCTGCTAGAGCAAGACATTGGTATTCCTTGTGCCTTGGTACCTCTATTATCACTGAGGAAGGACTCACCATTATAATTACAGCCTTTTCTTATTAGAAAGGAATGAAGCCCAAGGCTCTGTCCCACCAAGTCCTAGTCTGCTAGTTTCTCAGAACTGAGTCTATTTGATATTAATCCATTCATCAACCTCACTGCTTAGTCCCACAGAGGGGTGACTTGTACCTGTGGAGAAAAAGACCCTTTGCCTCAAATATAAATAGAGGAGAACTTGACATGCCAAGCACTCTGGCCAGAACGTCTCAGACCTTCTGAGGACACTGCTGTGAGGCCCCACAGAGCCAATGGGGCATTCTGGGTAATACAATGCAATGTGATGCAGTCCCCTCTCTGGCCTCCCCAGAGTTTCTTGATTCCTGGCTCTGCAAGAGCTGAGGCAAGCAGTTTTTGAACTGGGGGGAAGAGGGTGGAGAGAAGGGGTGGAGGCTTCCTCTAGGCCAACCACAACTAACTCATTCGCTCTGTCCAGCAAAACCCAGACAGTGCAATTATCTGGTTAATTTGGCCCTTAGTTGGGAGACAGACTTCCAAAATGTGAGGCCAGCTCAGACTAAACAGTGGCTTCCATCCTAAGACTTTTCCCAAGTGCGAGGGGATACATGTGAGATTCCTGGGGGGTTGCTTATGTGTCCCACCCATTCATCCAGATGGAAAAAGGCAAACAATTCAGACACTAAGATGGGTTTAGGAAGGCATGTCTTGCAGGGAAAAATGCCCAATAACTTGCTATTTGGTCTCCTGGCTAATTTGCCTTCTGGCTACTATGGAGGGGGGTGGCTGGAAATCAGGATGACTCTAAATTAGCCAACATTTTCAAGAATGTATGTAGCCTTTGTTGATCAGTTGAGTGTTCCCAGAACCCCTGGGTGACTTATTTTTAGAGCAATTCCCAATGATTCTTCTGAGGATACTCCTACTCTTAGATTTTAAATCTGTAAGGTGGGCTAGGGGCATCACTGAGATAAATGGGTAAAATTAAAACATGCCTCTGGGGTGTTCACAAATGGAAGGAGATGGGGCTAGCGAAATTGGCAAGTAAGCCTTTACCAGATGGTTTATGGAAAAGCCAGATTTTTGAGGGGAGATTAAGGAGCAGTGATTTATCTCCCTTGGAAAGTGACAAGCAGCCTGGAATCTGTGGAATCTATCAGTTATTCATTCTGCAAATAGTTCTTCAGTTCTAGTATGTGCCAGGCCCTGTGCTACTCACAATGCAGTCATGTTTCTTACACTCATGCAAATAATCCCACACCTAAATATGTGGACAAGGGCTCAGAGGGCGAAGTTATGTTATAATAGGGAATCACCAGGTTAGCTGATCTAGATCAAGGTGTGAGGGCTCAGAGAAGGAGTCTTTGAGGAAGAGATTTAAAAGTGAACACTTTAAAGAATCTATTTCCTTTTTTGAAAGACCATTCTGGCTTTAGTACTAAAAATAAATGAGAATTATGTGAAAAGATAGAGTTAGAAGGCTATTTCTTGATAGGAAGATTGGATGAGAGCCGGTGATGGTTCAGCCAAGGATCTAGGCAATAAGGATGGATAGAAGTGGATGGACCAGAGACAGGGGTGTGGAGTCAACAGGTGTAGTGGCAGAGGGAGTGGAGGCATCTAGGAGACTGTGCAGGCTTCTGGCTAATGTGGAGGTTAGAGGTTACCACTGTTTATTGAGAGGGAACTTGAAAGGAGTGGTAGGTGGGGGCTAGGGGAAGATGATGTGTCCTATTCTGAAGTCAACTGAACTGAACTCCTACCTTCCTATAAACTGTACTTCCAGCTTCCTTAAAAATTCCTCACACTGTATCAGTTTATCTCTCTTTTTCTCAGCTTCCTCTTTTTTCTATAATTGTGTCTTCTAAATCACTTATTCTCCTTTCTGCCTCTTCAATCCAAAATAGTGTGGGAGAGGGAGGGAGGCAAACCATGAGAGATTCTTCAACGCTGAGAACAAACTGAGGACTGATGGGGGTGGGGGGAAGGGAAAGGGGGTGATGGGCATGGACGAGGGCACTTGTGGGGATGAGCACTGGGTGTTATGTGGAAACCAACTTGACAATAAACCATTAAAAAAAAAATTCCTCACACTGCTTCCTTCTCATATGCTCTTCATGTTGCCATCTCCACTTATTGAAATCCTACCCATCCTTCAAGATGCCCTCCAAATGCCACCCTCTCCTCAGAGCCATCCTGACTCCCTCAATTAGTTGTGGCCTCTGCTGCCCTTAGCACTAAATTTGGACCTCTCTTGGATTCCACTTGTGTTGAGGTTCTGTGAAGACTTATCTCCCTGCCCTACCTAGACCACAAACGTTTTGGGACACAGCCTCTGTCTCCATATCCTCTTTCCCCATGTTAGCTAGCTAGCATAGTAGACGCTTGACAAATATTTGTTAAGTGAACAAAAATAACCTGCTCTTTGCCATGGAAGGAAAACCAGTAGACATTGGACTGACTTGAAAGCCACAGGATCAAATTGAAATTCAAGTTTAAGGTGTTTTAATACTAAGCCAACTCAAATTGGATACTCAGAAGGGCTTTCTGTTTCTCCAACACACCAAACTCAAAGAATGCTGAAAATGTCACACCTCTCTATTTTCTTATTGCACTTTTCAGAGTTCATCTTATAGTAGAGACCTTGTCTATCTTATTAACTATTTGTCTTTGATGATGATGATGATAAATGAATAACATTTACTAAGTGCCTGGTATGTGAAAGGCACTGTTCCAAGTACTTCTCATGGACTAACTCATTGGATCCTCATAGTCACCCTATGAAATTGATGCTATTACTACCCAATTGTATAGATAAATGGAGCCACTAAGAGCTTAGGTACTGCTCAACCAAGGAGTGGCATCGAGATTCAAACCTACACTCTGGCTCCAGAGCCCATGCTCTGATGTGCTCCCCTAAGGCTGAGCACCATGCTTGGCATTTAGTAGGTCCCCAACAAGTGCTCACTGAATGAATGAGAGGAGCCCTAGATCTGGAGATCACAAGTTCTAATCTTATTTCTGCCACTGACTTCCAATGTAGCCTTGAACAAGTCTGTTATTTCTTTCCCCATAAAATAAGGTGTCTGGATGCTGATATTAACAGTAACAACAAGAGCCAGTATTCATAATTCTAGCCTCTTTTGAGGTTTTAAATCATCTAATCCCAACAACAACGATACAAGGAAATTGATGCACAGAGCAAGTAAGTTCACCTGCTCACTACCTATTAAATGAGAGAGGCGGGCTTCAAACCCACAGTGTTCCCTAATCCACTGGTGCCAAGGAGATGCCTTGGGGGGCTCTGGGGAGAATAGGGAAGGTGGAGCAGGACGGAGCAGACAGATTTTTGGGTCTCCCACGCGTATTTCGTCAGAGAACCTCTACTTGTCTCTAGTATGTAGAATAGGCTCCTACGTAAGATTTCCTTTGAAGAAAGGTTCTGCTGCTAAAACAGAAAAACATTAAACTAAATAATTCTGAAATGTAATAAAACTCCCAGGTATAAGCCAGGATTTTCTAGTAATCTTGGCTCATGGTAGCCACATAAGATGAGGACGAAGGCTGCTCCTGGGAAAGGCTCCAGCTGTGGAAAACATCAGGGCAATAGCATGAAAGACTGAGCTCCAACCTACCTGCTCCACTCGGATTTCAATCTCTCCATTCACCTTCTTTCCATGGAAGTATTTGGCCCTGTTGAAGAGAGGAAGAATACTACTGAGTAAGGATAAAGACTGCTTTACTATTTTCTCCCTTCTCTCAAAGCCCTTACCCCCAGGGGTACATATCAGACACATTTGTAACTTCATGCTCTCTCCTCCTACCCTCACTGCTGATTTTCTCATTATTTGTATATACTATGTACAAGAAGGAAAAGACTACTGGATGTGAAGATTGGAGACTCAGGTTCTGTTTCTGCTTGGCATCCTTGTGTTTCAATTTTATAATCTGTAAAAGGAAGATATTAATACCTGCATGACTTATTTCTAAGGGCTATTTTAAGGATCAAATGAGATAAAGAATGCTATATAAATAAATAGTGCAGAATTATTTTATTACTTTATTGAGTTATACTCCCCATACTCCATAAATTATCTATCTATCCACCCACTCCTCCATTTGTCCATCTGTCCAGTGAAGCAGCCCTCATCTGTCCCCTCATCTATCCATGAGTCCATGCATCCATGCATCCATCTATCTTCTTTCCACTATATCCTACTCCTATCTTCTCATCTACCTATTGCTCAAGGCAGAAACGTAGACATCATTCTTGTTACCTCTTTCTCTCTCCCTATCCCCACTGATTCTACATTCTAATTATTTCCCAAATCCATCCAAATGCCCATTTTTCTCAATAAGCACCCTAATCTTGACCCCCTTCATTTCTCTTCTCATATAGATTCTCTTTTCATACTCTTCTTTCATAGCACTCATTACAATTATAGTTAGTTATAATTAGTAACTGTGTTTAATGCCTGTGTCTCACTAAACTATAACACAACTTCTTGGAGTAAGGACCAAATATTCCCAAAACCTACCAGAGTGCTTAACACACAGTAGGAACTCAATTAATATTTGTTGGATGAATAATGAGTGGAGATAGATGGGGGAAAAAAACTCAGTTGTTGAGTATTTACTCCGTTTCAGAAACTGTTCTGTAGGCTTGAACCTATAATAGCCTTTCTCATTTAGTGCTTACAACCACCACCATGAAGAAGGCATTATTATTTCCATCCTATAAAAGAGAAAACTGAAACACAGAGGAATGAAATATTTTGCCTAAGGGACTAGAGTCCTGGCCTTCTAATTCCACATCTATGTTTTTGCTCAACCTTGAAAAAGAGCAGCAAATGTTGGGGTACTCTAGGTTTAGATGTCCTCCCACACACAAGGCAAAAGTAATAAAAGTTTCCATTTGCTCTTTTGGATTTTTGGTATGGAGAAAACTAATAGTTCTTAGTCACTTGCTGTAAACTGAGCACTGTGTTAAGCATTTCCATAAACCTTTCTGGGGCAGAGAGAGCTTTTGGTTCCAATACCCATTCCCGTCTTCCCCACAGTAAGAGAGTTTACAGACTGGGACACACACACACACACACACACACACACACTCACACAAAAGAATAAATATCCCAACTCTCCATTCAGCTAGCGGTGGCCATGTGACTGAGTTCTTATCAATAATTTGTAAGTAGTATATCCAAGAATCTTAGTTCTTTTTCCTGGAACATCCATGTTACCATCTATTTTTTCAGCCTTCCATTTGTGAAAAAAAGAATCTTTCTATAAATTCTCTGACCAAGCTTCAGCCTGTTTGCTTCCAGAGAGTCTCTACCTACACTTGGCTGATGCCAGTGGAGTTCATCTCTTTCTAAGACTGCCCAAATCGCTGACTGACAGCTGTTAATATTAAGATTACTTTTTCTTACTATGTTGACAGGCCTAGATGTCAACTAGGCAAAACTCTAGTGGTATAGGAGCTGTTGTTGTGACTTGAAAGGAAGATTTTGTTTTCTTTCTCAGACATGGCATTTGACAAAATGTACTGTAAGGCTCATACAAAGGGAACCTTTCCACATAGTTTGTGAATTTTATCATGAATCTTTAAAGGTAGTGTCAGCAAACTGCAGACACTGGGATAAGTCCACTTCTAATATTTGTGGGGCCTGGGGCAAAAGAACAAATGTTTATGTATATAATATGTCTAATATTTACAATTGATAAATAAAACTAGCAAACATTTAAATAAAAAATGCCCGTCTTCCTTCCTTGACAAAGACAACTACATCATGACCTGCAGGGGTCAGAATTCAGACTTCTTGGAATTCTTAGAGTTCTACCCAGAGCAAGGCAGCATGGGGATTGCCTTCTCCTGGTTCCTACAGTCTTCCCTGACTCTCCTCCCACCCTCCTTTCAGTCTTGCATCACCTGGGCTTCTTGTGCAGGCTTTTGGATAGCCCAGCCCACATGCCATGCTTCATCTCTTCACTCATTCCCCCATCAACAGTTCTCCCTTCGCCATGCCTTCCAAGGATGGACCAGGGAACTGGCCTATGCAGGGCATGGAATCGGGCCAGGGTCCCTTTGGGCAAGTAATTCCAGGGTTCTTTGTATCCACTGGATGGTGGAAGGGTGTAATTTGTAGGGTCCTGGTACAGGGCCCTCCTTTGCTGTCAGAAGGGGTACAGCTCATAAAGTCTGGAGTAGGACTTAGGGCAAGGTTCCCTCTACATTAGGTTTAAAAGAAGTACTGCGTGGGCCTGGGACTTCAGAATAGTAACTAATGAGAACAATCACTGGTACACTGGAAAAAGCATGGCTTGGGCAAAATCTGAGCCCTACAACTCACTCACCACATGTTCTAAGCCAAGCTACTTAACCCTTCTAGGTCATGGTTTTCTCATTTGTCAAGTGGTGATAACATCTATAGCCAACGCTGTGGTGATAAATTCACCTGATCCTCTATGCAACAAGGCAACAGAGTGTAGTAGGTTCAGGGCAATCACATGGATGGAATCCCACCTCTACCACTCACTCACTGTGCAACTTTGGGTAACTCACTCAACCTCCGTGTGCCTGTTTCCACATTCCGGAAGTGGGGTCAGTAAAAGTAAGTATCTCACAGCGTTGTTGTAAAGATTAACTGAGACAAGATGTATAAAGCACTGAGAACAGTTTCTGCACATAGTAAGCTCCAAAGTATATAGCCCAGAGCCTAAAACAAAATCGACAACAACAAAGAAATATTGAGTGTTTCCTCTGTGCCCTCATGGAGGTTATGAAACAGAAATGTGATTCACCTCCTTTTGATCTGTTCCATCAATGCAATGAACGATGGGTGATGATAATAATAATAGACACCGTTGGTATATAAGGCTTGCTAGTACCTTCATATCCCTCCTCCTATTAGACACTACTAGGTTGGGCAGGGATCAGTCCCCACACATTCCAGGTGGAGAAGTCCCTGTTAAAGATACATATAAACTCTAAGTGGCACCAGTGAGTTAGATCTTGTGCTTCTAGATTTTCAGGATCAGCAGGATCTTGCTGACTTTGGCCCATTTCTCCTCTGGTGTTCTGTCCACCTCACAGATACACTCAACTTCCTGCAACTCCCTAGCCACGTCCTACACTTTACACCACAGAGCTTTTGCACCCGCTGTTCTCTCTCCTTAGGATGGCTTCTTGCTCTTCTCTGCCTGGCTGTCTCCAAGATCCTCACTCACCTCCTCTATCAAGTTTTCCTTGATAGTGGCCCCCTAATGAGGCTGGGTTAGGTGTTCCTCCTTGGGGTTCCTATAGCATCCTGTACTTCACAACCATGAAAAGATGTACCACTCCATGTTGTAATTGCACAGCGTTTATCTGTACCCTGTCCCCATACACCTAGTCTGTGAGCTCCTGGAAACCTGAAACTGTGTGTCAGTGCTCAATGAATTCGGTGTCTGGCACAAAGTGCCAGGGCACAAGGCGCATGTTTAACGAATGTTTGCTAACTGGGTAAATGAATAGTCTTCCAAGGAGAAGCCATAACGTATCCTGTCCTCAAGACACTTTACTGTCATCTACTGGCACACTGCTGTAATACACTTACAAATCTGCACTGATTACAACGTGGGGTCGTTGTACAGTGTCCAACCTGAATGACTGGTAGCCCTCAGCTCGATTCTAACCAGAACCCAGAGCACTTTGTACTATACGAATACCACCCAAGCAGCTCTAGCCTTCACAAGGCCTCACCTTCCCAGGAGAAACACTTGTTTTGCCCATCTCTGGAATGTTTACTGCAGAGCCTGGCAGACGGACTCCGGCTGAAGCTGAGGGTCAGGCAGTCCATCCCCCTGCCTGGCTGGGAGTCAGAAGTCTGTCTCCTGACAGGCCACACAGACTGCTGCCTCCTTGCCGGGGGCTCATTCAGGCTTGAGCTGCCTCTGAACAGTCCTGTCTGGCAGAGGGAAGGGTAGGGATGGTCTGGAATTCTAGATGCCTTGGGGGCTGGGACTGCTGCCTTTGTAATTGCCTGGCTGTTTGACCCCAGGCAAAACGGATGGCCTCACTGTGCCTGAAGGCCATCTTCCTAATGCAGACCTCTTTCTAATGCCCCAATATGTTTATTCTTATAATGAGCTCCTGAATATCCCAGCCAATCACTCAAGGCCTTGGCCTTGGGAAGGAGGTGGGGGAAACTCTTGATTCCAGGAAGCTTCCTTCTCTGTGGGTGGTCTCATATTTTACTGCCACATCAGAGGCACTAGGAAGGAGAATATTATAAAACCAGCGCTGCCTGGGGTGGGAAATCCCAAGTTTGGGGAGGCGGGATGTGGTGTGTGAGAGAGATTTATGAGGAGCGGGTACTAAGTTCTTTCATGGCGACAGCAGGGGCAGAAGGAAGAGGAGAATTAGCACAAACAGGATCCACCTGTGTCCAAGCGGCACCCTCCTAATAAATGTGTCTGGGATGTAGAGTCAATGTGGCTGGGCCTTGGCTATGCCCTTCCCAGGGAGGAGGGGTCAGGAATGTTCTGTCTCAGGCACAGTTCTCTTCTCACAGGTCCCTCTTGTAAGGGGATGGATGGGGGGCAGGGAGGCAGTGATCTGGCCCAGAAGAGTCTCATGTTTCTGATGCAACATATTGGTTGCTTATTTGCAGCCTGGACTTAAGCAGAGAGAGATGGACTATGGATCAATTAGG